TCCGAGAAATTGTGCGATTGGATCACCAGCTTTCTTGCAGATCGGAGCATCAAGGTCGTTGTAGACGGTGCAAGCTCCGATTGCAAGCCTATTAATGCTGGTGTTCCACAGGGCTGCGTACTATCGCCAACGCTGTTTCTTCTGCATATCAATGACATGTTGCATACCCGTAACATTCATTGCTATGCAGATGACAGCACTGGTGATGCTCTTTACACCGGCCGAGCCAATATTTCTCGGGAAAACGTCTCCAAGTGCCGGGACAAACTTGTGTCTGAAGTCGAGTCTCTGCTGGACAGAGTCTCGGATTGGGGGCGACTAAATCTAGTCCAGTTTAACCCCCAGAAGACACAAGTTTGCGCGTTAACCGCTAAAAAGAACCCCTTTGTCGTATCCCTTCAGTTTCAAGGCACTCCCCTTGTTGCCTCAGCCAGTATCGGAATCCTCGGCGTCGACATATCGAGTGACGTGCAGTTTCGTGGTCACTTGGAAGGGAAGGCCAAATTGGCCTCTAAAAAGCTTGGCGTGCTCAGCAGAGCGGGACAGTATTTCATGCCGGCACACCGCCTGCAACTTTACAAGGCGCAGGTTCGGCCGCACATGGAATACTGTTCCCATCTCTGGGCTGGGGCTCCCCAGTACCAGCTTCTTCCACTTGACCGCATCCAGCGCAGAGCGGCTCGAATCGTCAACGACCGAGTGCTTTCCGATCGGCTCGATTCACTGGCGCTGCGAAGAGATGTTGCATCTCTTTGCGTATTTTATCGCATCTATCACGGGGAGTGCTCTGAGGAATTGTTCGGATTAATCCCAGCCGCCAAATTTCGTGAACACACTACACGTCAAACGTCCCGATACCATCCACACCATCTGGATGCTTGGCGGTCCACCACTGTACGTTTCACAAGGAGTTTTCTTCCACGTACAACCTCTCTGTGGAATAGTTTACCACCGGCGATTTTTCCGGACCGATACGACCTGGGGACCTTCAAGAAAAGAGCTTACTCCTTTCTAAAGGGCCGGCAACGCACCCGCAATTCTCCTGGTGTTGCGGTTGATCATGGGCGGCGGTAGTCACTTAACATCAGGTGAGCCGCATGCTCGTTTGCCCCTTCTTCTATATAAAAAAAACAGACCTCCATCAATCCGATATTCAGAACAATTATTTATAAAATTTTTTTAAGCTATTGCATAGCTTCTATCGCGGGCCTTGAACGCGGGGACCGAATCCAGATTTTTCGTAACGAAAAAAACCTCACGCTCCCCACTCCGACGGGCACGGAGGTGTGGCGTTGAAAGCCGTGCATCGTCTAACGTCGTTTCAGTTCGGCAGACTTCGGCACTCGGCAGACTTCGGCACGGTGTTTGTGTGCGTGCGACTAGACGTATGCGTGTACACTAGCTGCTAACTCAATGATAAAAATTCCTGAATAACCTACATGTATTGTAAGATATTAAAAATATTTTAAACAATATTAACTTCTCATTTATTCAATTTGAGAAAAAAAATTGTTTTTTTATCGGTCACCACGCTCAAAAAGTGTAACTTGATTTAATATCAAAGACTTAGCTGCGTAAATAAAATAAGTAAATAATTATAATTGCATATGTTGCTAAAAAAATGCTATGTAATAGCTTTACCGCGGCAGTCACCGAGTGCCACACGTATTTTTTATAAAATCGAATTTGCATAACGTTTTATACTTTTGGAAGACTAACCTTATGTGCTCGTTTATTGTAAGTACATAACAGAGACTTAGAATATACTGGCGTAGTACCTACATAATATGAAAACATGAAATAAAATCCCTGTATTTTCTCCTTAAGTCCTGTTAGAGAGAAAATACATGATACTACTGCATATATTCTGAATATGGTTACTGTTTTAAAAATCTTACTTGTGGTGGCGACGTAAGAGATTCCATCATGTCATTTCGATCCAGAGGTGTTCAACGAGGCGACTATAGGATATGCCGGAAAAAACAACTTATGACTTGGTAATTTTTTTATTTATATTTTTACTGGTTTTAAAAATAACTATGCCGTGGGAAGTGGCAGTGAGAAACACAGCGAGATTATTTAATTAAATTACATAAACTAATAGTATAAGTAAGGTAGAAATTATTTATATTCTTATACTCTTTGTTAATATCATTCTAACTTCTGCCAAAATTCTGCGTCAATTTCTTAATTTTCAGTATATAATAAAGGTACTCTGTGTTCTTAATAAAAAAGCCAACGTCAAAATTTTATGTGTAAAAAACTGGTACATGTTTAATTAAATAAAAATTATATATAAATATAAATTTTGTAAGATACCTTTCACAATACAGTAAGTCTCTTTTTTAATACTTTCATAATTTCATAAATATGTATTAATAATTATAAAAACTTAATTTACTATAACCACCAACTGCATTAATTTAGTTTAAAAACTTTGCTGATAGGAAATATTTATTGAAAAACCTGGGTAGTTCTAGGAAAAAAACCTGTTGGTACCACGTTAGTAAAAATGTTTTTTTGGGTAAAAGAGTACTTAGGTATAGATGCTTACTGCGGAATCCAACAGTAAGTAGTTTTGTGACAGTACATGGCGAAATAACTGTCAAAAATTGGCCGATCTATAAAATATAGACTGGTTGCAAGAAGTGCCTTTGGATGGCAAAGGGGAGATTGAAAATGATTGAGATTGAAAATTTTACCTGGTGTGGCGATTTGATCATGCCAATTCTTTAAAACTAAAAGAGAACTAAGTAGGCACTTAGTGTGTAGTTATATTGGCTCTTGAAAAGCTGTTTTTTGGCATAAATAGATAAATCATATCCAGACGAAATCAGAAAGAGCTCTATCCCTTATAAATTTATAAACTTAGAAAATTTGGTTCCGTAGTTAGTAAATTACCTAATTGTATATTTATGTTTAGTTTGAGAAATGCGAGAAGTTCCAGACTGTTTGAACCGTCGTTATCGGGCCATGGATAATCTTATCCAGGATTTGAGTTCAGCAACGACAAATCGAAATCCACGTTCAATAGAGATTAACTCTTCTTGTAACGTTGATCGGGGCATTAAGCTAATGTGTGATTTTTGGAACATTCTCAAAGAGGACCCTGATTGTAATCTTACGGTGAATATACGAAATCAACTATTCGGCAAAAAATAAATAAATAAAAATAAGTATCTAGTACGAAACAACGGTTCTAATTCCATTTTGTAAGAAATGCCATGAGGTGGTTGTAAAAAAGAATCCATCTGATCTTGTCGGCTCGATTTCGCAGAATCGAGCTGCGGATTCAATGGCGAAGATATTATTATTCTGTGTGTCGATGTTGGTCTCTATGCTATTTATTTATATGTAAACACCTCAACCGTAGAATAGGCGTGCCGTGGTAGCTCAGATGGTTAGCGCTCGCTGTAAATTTCACAGTACGCGAGCAAACCAGGTTAGATCCCCGCCGGCACCAATGAAATTGTGAATTGTGATTTTAAGTGCTGATTTACCACGTGCTCGGCAGTGAAAGATAAAATAGTGAGGAAACCTGAATGTCTGAGAAATAAGAAAAAAAAATTCAAAGACATGTGAAGTTCGCCAACACGTATTGAGGCAGAGCGGCGTATAATTCCTTGCCCTAAAACCCCCTCAGAAATGAGCGGAGACCTGTGCATAGGAGTTAACTTTTTAACTTTTAAACACCTCAACGATACAGGAGATTCGTAGTGCAAGGTAACATTTAAAAAAATCTCATCCCGGCATAAAAAACGAAGTGCAATGATGCAATCAGCCAACAATTACCTGATTGAAAAATTCACGTTAATTGGCTATTTGTTCCCTTGTTCCCTTATTGTGCCAAGACATGTTTCGTTTTACGCAGTAGTATCTCAGGGGCTAAGAGTTTGCAGTAAAATTCACAATAAGTAAGCAATCCGTATCCAAGTACTGGAGAAGTTAACAAGTTGCTCCCTTACTCTTTTAGAAATCAGAGGAGGCCTGTCTCCAACTATTTGATTGGTTTCATTTTGGTTATTATAAGAACAAGTATAAGGTTGTTATTATTGTTGCGCACCTAAGTTGACGTCAGGTACCTGGCACTAGCGCCATCTAGTGTCGGGGAAAAGAGGAGGGCTTCCTAGAAAATGTCAATCTTGACTTTCGACCAACAGCGCCATCTAGTATCGAACAGAAGAATTAAGCTTTCTAGAAGCCCCACACTCAAACTTTCTGCGTCTGGTCGGTCGGCGCCCGTATCTACGGGAATATTCTGGATGTTTCGGTGTAAAAGTGTATTTAAACCCGCTGCATGCCGCGATCGGGGCAGTATTGAATTTTCCGAGACAAACGAAGCTTCGAAGCGAAATAAAGTGAATCAGTGTGATTAATTATTAGTGTCTTTTAAGTTTTAATTAGTGTAAAGTGAATTAAAGTGTTAATTTTGGTAATTCTAAGCTCGTAACATTGTTGTTACGAGCTTAGGGTTCGTGACAATAAAAAACTGCCGATTGAATTACCAAAATTAACACCTTAATTACTGAACACCAATTAAAACTTAAATCACACTAACAATTATTCACACTTAACACTTTAGTTCACTTTATTTCACTCCGAAAGCTTCGCTCGTATCGCCAATTGAATACTGCCCCGGTCGCGGCCCACAACGGCTTTAAATAGGTCTTTTCCACCGAAACATGCAGAATATTCCGGTAAATACCGGCCCCCGACCGACAAGGTGCAGAACGTTTGAGTGTGGAGCCCTCTAGGAAGCTTAGCTCCTCCAATCGATACTAGATGGCGCTAGTGGGAGCGTTCTAAAAAGATCTTGACGCTACTATTTCTGCTGCTTGATACCAGATGGCGCTAATAATCAGCAGCCACATACGAGGCTCTAATAAGAGCGCACAACATTATCAATGGTGCTGATTTTGATTGTTTAATCTTGATATGTTTTTATTCCAATGCTCTGGTTATGTTTTTGTTGTCATAAGAAGCAAGCGGTTCAGCAAAGAATGGGTGTAAGTAAAAATGAAAAGCAATCAAGTGGTGTTTGGACGCCTCAGCGCATGAGTTGTTACATGGGCAGCGGATGCAGTTACATATCAGAAGAAGATAGCTGCAGTAATAATAAGAAAAGGTTATTAACAATATCTAAAACTTACATTTTATTTTTCGTTTTAATAACATCATTGTCAGGCTTTCTGACCTAACGTTAAGTGTTGAACGTGTTAGAGCTATGCTGCGACTATGTTATGGTTGTAGCACGAAAGGGTCTGCTCAACCAGGGAAGCACCACGCTCTCATAGAATAGTAGCTAAACTGGAGACCCTTCTCAATGGAAACATACCATCTTAGTTCTTAGGACAGACACCACATCTGCATTCTGTTTCTTAATCGAGGATAGGTGTAAATGTAATGGTCTACAACTCTACATCCACTTATCATCACGTTGACTATGTATTCGTTTGTCATCCTTATTCTACAAATAAATAAATACGGAATCGCGAATAACGGACAGACTAAGGCAAAAAATGCGCGGGTGCAAATCACCATTTTGCCCGTTCACTTAGCTTCTAAAACTGGTACGGCTTGGTGGCGTTAGAATAACAAACGAGTTAGCAATCAACCTGATTATATCCCAACCGTTGAACACATGCAACACACTAAACGGGTCACTTTCGGGTTCAGAAAAAAAAGGCTTATGGGACGGTACGCATGGGGAGAATCGGCGGCCCCTGCCTTCCTTCTTCAATAGGACCATCTTTGCCTCTTTCAGTGCTTTCCACGGTGGGGAATTTGGAACTCCGCAGACAGCCAGTAAATAGCTGCCTAAGCCTTTTCCCCGGGGCAGCAAGACTGAACACAAAGGCTCGACCTGGGGTTCCGTCGGGCCCTGGTGCTGTGTTTCGGGCTCTTAAGCGGCTAACTGCTCGGTCTAGCTCCTCGACGATCACCCCCATCTCTTCTTGCCACGCTGAGCTTGCTTATGCTAGCACCACTTATGCAAAATAAAATTTGGTATAATATTCTCAATAAATATTTTACTTATTGCGGCATTTTTTCTTTATTTTTGGTTCTGCCGCATGTAGTTTAAGATTTGTATGTTCTCAGCGTGGGGGGTATATTGCCATAGCTGCCACTTGGCGAACGGTTTAGCCATCGCATTTTTTTTTGTGTCATCTGGACATGGATGAACATTTGATATCATTTTTGTAGTGGATATTCTTGCCCGCCACTAAACGGGTTAAAAACGAGCTTACTCCCTTTAAAAAGGCCGACAGCGCTCCTGCAATTTCCTTTGTGTTTCAGTTGTTCATGGGTGATGGTCGACACTTACTCTCAGAAAAATTTGATTTAATGTAGGTGAAATCGCGAAGTGGAAAGTTAGTAAAATATAAAAATCTAATAAATATATTCGTAGGCTGGGCAAACACAGACATAACAGGTGGGAGGGCGCTTATTCGTAGTTAGAATGGGGCTGCCGGAACCCTAGATCAGGCACTGATGATGATAACTAAATGTGTAGGTTTAACCGTATGTTCTTTCACTTTCTTTTAAGGCTTAAATAAACTGAGCATTTATTTAAAATATAAGATAACGTTAAACGAGTGAGTGTAGATGTATGGTAATACTATGAGAAAACAAAGAGAAAATAAAAAACAAAAATTCAATTTGGAGCTAAGGCTCAGCAAACCGAAATGTTATTTAAGTACCAATATACCATTTGAATAAACAAAAACTAAATTTAGAGACGATCTAACGCGTATACTATTCAATATAATTAATATTAACCCGACGCCGGTGCTTTACAGCAACCATATTCACCTGATTTTGACCCCAATGTCATATTATCCGCTACCTTCAGTTTTTGAATATTAATTTTTCCGATTTACGCAAAATTATAGTATCATGAAGTCGTTGCATGTATTCTTAGGTTTGGGTTTACCTATTTTGTTAATTATAGGATCCCAAGCGTGAGCACCCATCCAATCTTCTCTATTGAAATTTGGATGTTTTTTAATTTCAATAGCCTCGCGTACATCCTGGAGGAATCGGTGTTCTTTGCGAGAATTTGTGGTTTATCAAAACGAATGTAATGTGGGACGATCTTGAACATGTTCGCAGACTGCAGACTTCCAGGTGCCCACCTTCACGTCAGCAAGAACATATAGCAAGACGTGAAGCGACGAAATTTTATCTATGGGATGTCCAAATTTTAATAAGCCTGGTCTCTCGAATCGGAGTTACTGTTTTTTCGACGTAGCGAAATAATTTAAGTATTTATAAATATCGTAACTGTTTTCTTAAAAATTAACCACCAAATGAGAAAAAGCTATAGGGCGATGCGAATCACGCTCCATTTTTTGATATACTACATATTACTTTCACTTTAAATAGATCCTGTCATCACCATCGAACTGGTCCAGATACAAATCCTACGTGCTCCTCATATTATTCAATGTGTCCTAGTGTTGGTAGTCGAAAACCTCCTCTGATCAAAGTTCTGGGTAATTTGAAAGAGGTATATACTTTCATATTAAAGTAATGACGAATTAAATAAAAAATATATAATTGCTTCTGAATATGGCACGTAAAACTTGCCAAACAAATAATAAAATTATTTCAACAGGCTGCATCTTTTGAAAAGTCATGCACTGTAAAATTAAACGATCTTTTGAACACCGAGGAACAGTTGAATAAGGCGCTCCAAAATTTGGAACAACGAGAGAAGGAAGGTATGAAGTTGCTAAAACAGGCGGATTCCATATGGCTGTCCATGGAAGAAGCCTACAAGAAAAAAGTATCCGAATCATTAGAGCGCCAAAAGCTTTTGCGGAAACAGGTCATATATTGATCAAACATATAATATATTTTAGTTCTAAAATTAAAGCAATGCTTTTTTCATTAGAAAATAATACATTAAAATCGTGGTTTTAAAGCTAATTTTAAAATCTAAATATTAATTTTAGTTAAGAGAAATAGAAATAAGTACAACAAAATGGCGAAAGAATTTGAAGGATCTAGAATCACAACTTAATGATGTCAACAAATGCCAAGAAGAAATGAAGGGAAAGATAGCCCAAAAATCTAACGATATAAAATGTATCGACATGGAAATAGCAGATTTACAAAAACGATTAGATAATAACAAAAATGAAGTTGAAGCAACTAAGAAAACAATTGTTATGAATAAAGAAGCATCAAATGTTAGTCTTTATCTATGTTTATATTGTATTAAATAATTATATTTATTGACAGTAAGTTAGTTATTAATTAGTCCATACATATACATCAGCAGAAAAGACAATATAGCTAGATATTTGGCTTAGTTTTCTACCGCTTGCTTTAAACTTTATTGCACGCGAATGTTCCCATTTCCAATCTTGTGATCTTCAAGAGAACAAAAATAATTAAATATTAAATTTTAACTAACATTTCTTTGCTCAATATATGTTATTACGTATACGTTATGTCACGTCATTAAATTGTCGGTGGATTACCGATCCCAGTGCGAAAACTTTTATACTTTGTTTTGCTTTATTTCAATATTCTGCGTCTTTCTGATATTTATCGCATCTGGATGACATATAGATTTTTTCTCGCATTTCTCCCTCAACACCCAAGTGACTTCTCTACTTTCATTGAAGTATATTACATAATCATTACAGTCCCTTACAAGCACATTACTGATCATAAGGTTTTCCTTTAGATTTTCAAAAATCAGCTCAGATTTTTGCTACAGTTCAGAGCTACCAGCATCTATCGCATTTTCGCATGTTTCATTAAGTGCTTATTCCATCTAGTGGGAGTCGCTTAGCACTGGACTAGTTCACAGACACAGTTAGACGCCAGCCAATCGATAAACTTTGTTGACTATCAGTAGCCAGCACTATTTATATATGTAAAACATGAAACCTTTACGATGAAGAAATGAAATACGAAATTGTTGTGGAAGGGCGACTTTCTGCTGCATGTACTTATTTATTTACTAGAAGGTCTCAACATTGTTAGATAAATGTAAAAAATGAATAAATTAACATATATTATTTTAATATTACAAAAATAATCACATTGTATTTATCGAAATAAAAATCATCAATTATTTTAATCCAATAGAAAAAAGTGGCAAATTTAGCTGAAGAAGCAAAAAGACTAGAAAAAGTTGTTGCAGAAGAAAAGAAGATCAAAAGAGATAAGGAACTTGAAGGAACAAAGCTTATCAAAGAGGCAAGAGAAGATGTTAAGGTTATTTCCGAAGTGTTATTAAAGAAGAAATTAGAAAATGATGACTTGAGAGCAGAGGTATACCCGTAAAACGACGCATTAAAACATTTTTGTTCTTAATGATTTCATGATACCATAAGTTCATACTGTGTAGATCGGAACAAAAGTTAAATTTTAATCTATGGTAACCGCGGTTAACTATGACAGCTGGACGTTGAACATCTCAGTCCTTCCCGTGACCATGGGTGCTGTAAAGCTCTCGAAACGTCGGGTAAAAAAGTTAAATATACGCGATAAATTCCGTAAAAATTAGTATTATTTTTGTTCTTGTATAAAGAATATAAGGTACCAATCAGAGTATGAATATACTCTGGATAGTACCTCTTATTCTGAATGGACGGCTTTTAGTCTTTACTTGTATTCTTCTTGGCTATTAAAGACAATCCGAGCTGTTGTTCCTCGATTATCTAGCTCAGTAGTTCAAGATGCAGGAACGGCATGAGACCAATCAATCGTTAACAGCTATTTTTTAGCTTTTTGCTGACCGGATATCCTTCTAACAATCTAAATGTTATATGTAATAGACCAAGTGTTTAATAAGAGCATTACTTATAATGCCCGGGCAATTTAAATAACGACAAGTCAAATCGGGCTATGTAATTAATATTGATTTAAACTTTTTTTTATCACATTGACTGATCATTATGAATATTGATACGTACCTGTTGGTCAGTTTGATATGACTTAACTTTACTTTTTCAAGTAAAAAGTTAAAGCCTACATACGTCCCACTACTGGGTACAGGCCTCCCCTCATTTTTGATAGGGTTTTAGGGCAAGTAAGTGTCTACCGCGCTGTCATAATACGTGTTGACGAACTTCATATGTCTTTCTCTTCTTATTTTTGACACGCAATTTTCCTCACGATATTTTTTCTTCATCACCGAACACATGGTAAATCAGCACTTAAAATTGCAATTAACAATTTCATTGGTGCCGGCGGGGATCGAACCCGGGTTGCTCGCATACTGTGAAATTTACAGCGAGCGCTATCCATAAACACTTAAACACACACATAAACGTGCTAATCACTTTTAAAGACAATCAGTTAATAATGTACCGGATCTGAAATTACACGTGTAAAAATATAAAGAAAGGAAAAACCACTTTGCAGCATCAAATAACTGCAATGGGGAATACCTTCCTTTGCGTTAAAACGATAAAACACCTTTAATGAAAAACTTTATTCCCGGTGTTTAAGTGTTAAATGTGACATCACAAAACCTAACCTAACCTATCTTTTCTTATTCTGCCCAATAAGTTACGTACTTATTTATAAAGCACGGTTTATTTAATTATTTCAATAGTTCACATTGCCTACTCGTAGTGGGCATTATCCGTATTGAACGGGCATTATGAATCATGTCATTATGAAAATGTATTAATCACTTGGTATAACCTATATACTATAAAGCTTAAAAAGACTAAACTAATTTATTCCATAATTCCTTTATAATTTATGTTTGCACTTAATTTATTGAAATAAAATAAAATACTACTAACATTACTAATATTCCCTTTAAAAATCCTGGTAAGCTTAAAATTTTTGTGTTAGGTTAGGTACACGTCAGTAGTCGAATGGCGGATTCGGACCCACGACTTCGAGTTCGCCGTCCGCACCTGCCCATTAGACTATTGTCGCTACTTTTATATTATATAAATTTCTTCATCTAGATTTATTACTGATAATTTGCAATAGATAAAGGAAACGGAGACAAGAAGAAGATGGAAATGAGAGAAGATTAAATGAATATATATATATTAGTAGCATAGACCTTGCTTCGGGTGCATGTATCTTATGCCTTATGTATTTTCTTTATAAACTTAATAGCGATGAAGCTTAAGATGGCAATAGAGAGAAACATTTTCAGAAAATGTCTTGGTGATAAAGTTCGTAAAGAAAATATCTGCAGTGAAACCAAAGTACACACAGCCCAACGGATCAATAAACTGCAATGGCAATAGGTTGGCAATATACCTTGATGGACCAACAACCAATGGGCTGTCAAATCTTGAGTTGCGGCCTCGAACTAGTAAGCAAAGTGTTGCACGGGTTGAAGACGCTGCCGCCCAGCTCCTGGTTTGTTACCTTTTGTCGCCTCTTACGTCTCCCACGGTACAATATTGGGTAGGGGATATTTTTATACCGCCACTATATGATTAGGATGATGATGTTAAATTCTATTAATGTTATGAATATTCACATATTACAGAAAGCAACTTTGCTATCAGAAATCGAGTTTCTGGAGCAAGCTCGTGATCTATGCAAGGATAAATGTAACCTAAAACAGAGCACATTAGAAAATGAAATAAAAAAAATTGATGCGGAAATTGCTGAGTGTAAAATAAAATGTATAAAATGTAATGAGTGTACTGACACTTCTGAAATACAAAAATTTTGTACCGATTGCCCTCGATGCTTAGAAGGAAGGCGTTGCATAGTTGAAAATGATCATTGTAGTATGGATCATACAATGGATTGTGTCTGCATGACCGTGAAAAGAAAGTTCTTGGATAATGTATTCGAAAATATGTATAATGTACTAGTCAGACAAGTTAAAGAAGGTGCCGGTAAGGTGGTTGCTGAAAAGGTTTTTAATTGCTTAAAAAGAAGCAGAAACGGGAAACTTGATGGCAGAACTAGGAAAATTCTTCAGGAATTTATATTAACTAGTGTTAAAAGGCATCTGAACTTGACAATTGTTGGCGGTGCTGTTAAAACTAGATGTGAGGTTAGTTCGTTAATTTATATAACTGTTTGAAGAAATAAAAAAAATAGTATGTATATAACATACCATATGGGCCATTTAAAGTGGAAGCATTTGTTTGTTAAAAAAATTAAAAAATATAACTTTTTTGTTGTTCATTTGTAAAATATTTTATTTGGATCTAAGGAGATTTGTTATAATTACTTTTTAAAAATGATATCGCGCAAATGGCCACCTCTGGCATTGGCAACCAAATGTGTCCTGTTTTCAGCGTTTTCAATCAACCACGTTGGCCAATGTTAGTATGGCGGCAATTTCTTGACGAATATGATTCTTGAGGATCGCTAGAGTCCTTGGTTTATTAGCATATACATTGGATTTTAAATAACCCCACAAAAAAGTCTGGTGGCGTCAAATCAGGTGATCTCAGTAGCCAGTCAAAATCGCCATTTTTCGATATCAGTCGCCCAGGGAACAATGGTCGCAATATATTGATTGTTGCTCGAGCTGTATGGCATGTGGCGCCGTCCTGTTGGAACCAGTAATCGTCCATGTCATTTTCACGAATAATTGGCATCAGAAAATCCTTTATCATGGCCCGATAACGCTCACCATTAACGGTTACCGTAGCTCCATCATCGTCTTCAAAAAAATACGGCCCGACAACCATATCCGCGCAAATACCGCAACAAATAGTAACTTTTTGGTCGTAAAAAGGCTGCTCTTCGATTACTTGAGGGTTTTCGGTGGCAAAAAACCAACACACCTGGAGCAATTTTCACCTTATTTTTTTGCGAAACGCACGTTTAGTTTTCACGATTGATAAGTTATTTTGAATGTACAGCTGAACAATTTCAGCGTGTTCTTTTGGTGTGTACTGCTCCTTTGTTAAAATTCTGAAATGTCGCTGCCAACACAGTATGTCATTCATTAATCGATCTGACAACTAATGTCAAAGATATAGGATTGCCGATGCTTCCACTTTAAATGGCCCACCCTATGGATGAGTAACCTAAACCGTAAAACATTTACATTGACCTGTAACAATAATTTACCTCAAAATTTGGGATACTTCTCTTGAAAAAATAAATCGGTTTACATATATAAATAAAATTGAAATGTTTGTTTTCACGTTGCAATACGAGTAACTGCCTATGAGCCTATATTGCCTATATTGAGCTGAGGGGGCTATTTGGTGGACACAGAGAGGGTTGCTAGTTATAAATGAAAGAAGCGAGTAAAAAGTTTAAATTTTATTTTAATAATCACAATATCAACAACAGTATATAATAGGTGAGATCATTTGTAAGTAGATAGCTAAATTGTTAAAGATTTTAAATGAAATATACTAAATTTAGATGGACCCGGACATCTACAAGCAACTGATGATTTGTCTACAACAAGTGCAAGTTACACAGCCAGTGAAAATAGATAAGGGAACCGTTTCCAAAAAGGTTACCATACACGTATTAGTATCATTATTTAATAATATTCTTTTAGTAATGATATGAGTGTTATTAATTAATGAACATAGCCTTTAATTTATTATTTTGTACAATAAGGAAAAAAGTTATTATGTTTTGCAATCGTAGGCACCATGTTCCCGTTGGGGAGGCACCAACGAGTGTAATTGCCCCAAAGGTCCAAAAGGTTGTATATGTATGAAAAAAGCCCCGCCACCCATACATGACCCAACGCCGTGCCCACAGGAAGATGAGAACAAGGAAGACGAGGTAAACATTATGACCGTCATTATGATAGTCAATTGATAGAAAAATATGATAGTTGATATTCATTATAACCTATTAAACAGGGCATAGCAGTGGGCACTGCTGAATATAGACCATTTTTTATAGAATAAGAGTGACAAACAAACACACAGTCCACCAGATGGTAAGTGGATCCTGTGGTACATAGACATCTACATTTATCCTCGATTGGGAATCAAAACGCAGATGCGTTGTCTCCCCTGAAGAGTAAGATAGAATGCTTCATTTCCAGTAAAAAAAGGTCTCCGAATCTCTACACTTACCGTACGAAACATGCTATTTTACGCTGGTATTCTGTGAGAGCGTGGTCCTTCCTTGGTCGAGCCGACCCATTCGTGTTACAACCATAATATAGCTGCAGCGTGGCTCCCCTATAGATTGCTTTATAGGCTGGATATTTACCATCGCTGCCACGATTGGCAGGTGGATATTGGAAACCACAGTTTTTCATAATTTAGAGTTGTTACCACGTAGATTTTGCTGCCAATCACTTGTTTCATTTCCCTCTGTCGTCTCTTACAATATCCACGTGATGATACGGGGTAGTAGTTTCTCTTACAACGCTACTACTCGTCGGTTATTAACTTAATATTCTATCGCCAGGCAATTGTAAAACGACGTTAAGCAACTAAAGAGTCGTACCATCTATTAAAAGACTTGTACGTTTGATAAACAGTAGGTACGGATGTAGTGATGCAGTAAACTCAATAAACAACACTTCTTACGATTTTTCTTAGTTCTACTGCTTGTAATGGGCGGACCCTGATGTAGGAAGGATTTGCAAGAATCACCAAACTTGCCACATGAATTAGCAATTATAGAACCACACGTCTCGAAACTTTAGTGCTGCTAGCTGTCGCGGGTCCTAATTATATAGACAGACAAAAAATTTAAAAACGTTTTATATTTAAGAAACTATGCGATCTTTCTCAAATTTCTCATAGTTTCTATAACAATACCTATTATTTTAAGTTTATAAAATGTTTAATTCATTTATTATTTTTTATACATAATATAAATGAAGGTTAGTAAAATCTCGTATGATTTTACCAAAGAAAAACACATTATATTCAAAGCCACTAACCATTCAATCAAATAGTGGTTAAAATAACTATAAAATAATAAAATTAGTGTTATAAGATATATATGAATACTCTTTTTACTTTAGCAGCGAAAGTAATGGACAGTTTGTTTTTAGGACGATGTAAAATTCTGTCCTCTGGATTGCGGAATGCATGGCATGAAAACATCACCTATTAATGAAGAATTCCCTAAGTGGAGAGCTGACCCGTGTCGAGATCCGTCGTGCAAGTATTCAAAAAATATGAGAACTGCGCGATGTGTAGTTGATCCAGATTGTTCTGCTTCAATTCCAACTAAGGATTATGGGTTGGGTGTAGTGAACAAGGTATTGTAAATGAAATTCAATGTTCTTACAGATTTTGTGTGACAAACGAGTACACAGCCCATGTGACAGTAAGTGGACATTGTGGTCCACACACATCATCTACATCTTCATCTACCCTCGCTTAAGAATCAAAATCTAGATTCGTTGTCACCTCTGTGGGTTAAGATGGAATCTCTCACAGAATACCAGCTTAAAACAGTAGCATTAAGCTGGTATTTTACGCTGATATTAAGTGAGAGCATGGTCTTTTCGCGGTCGAACTGATCTATTCGAGGTACAACCATATAGCTCCAGCACGACTGTAGCATTTTTGAAGTAAAGTTACAACCTACATATTTCCTCTTGCTGGGCACAGGCTTCTTATCATTTTTAAGAGGGTAACGAAATATATATTGTCTTTATTTTATAATTGGAAGACATTGTGTTCGCTGCGCTGCCGCAAAGTTTGTTGGCGGAGTTTACACCTTCGAAATATTTTTTAATTTCTCTGATATGCAGGTATTCTCAGCATGGTGGTTTCTTTACTTAAAATTGCAATTAACAATTCATGGTGCCGGCGGGTTTTGACCCAGGTTGCTCGTGTACTGTGAAATTTACAGTGAGCGCTTAGCCCCAGAGATTTAGCAGAAGTAATTATTACATTTCTTAGTTTTCATTAATATTAAATATTATTAATGGACAACGATTAAATACTGTATTTATGCCTAACACTTCTTATTTATCAGCCTTTTTAATTTAGTGCAGTATATGGGCCTTTTTAATATCTTTACAATTGATGTCCGTGAACAATAAAGTAGAAAGTACAAACAAATAAAGTAATACAAACTGCGTTATGGGCGAAAAATTTTATAACGTATTTTATAAATAATACATTTTATAACTTAAATTGTAGAGTCCATTAGAGAAAAGTTTAAACAAATTAACAACTTAAGTATCTCAATATATTTACGAAAATGTAATAAAAATAGATATGATAAAAACAAATATATTATATACTTTTATAATACACGGTAACTTAAAACCACGTTTTAGTCACGCTCATACTTAACGTGGGACGTGGGGAACGTGGGACTTATACGTGGTATAATATGTTATAGTTTTTAAAAAGTTAAAACATATATTGAAACGTAATAATAAATACAGAACAATAGAACTTTATTAGAATACTTTAAATTACAAACAAAACATTAAATCATTTGATCAAGAAATATAAAAAAATACTTGATATAAAGTCATTTAAATTTCTTGTACATGTTTAGCTTGAACTTTATTTCAGTAAGAACTTTATTTAAGTACAATTTTCAATTATTAAAAACACAAGTAATTGTGTTTTTAATAATTGAAAATGTGTTTTTGTGTTTTTAATAATAATATTACTACCATTAGTGGTAATAATAGTAATTTTATTGTCCTCCAGACTGAATTCCGGCCACGGAGGCCTGCTTCAACGGAGGCTAGGCATCGGCGCAGGACAGGATTATAGTGCCCAAGTATATGCGCAAGCACTGGTGCACTCTCTATTCCCTCACTCTTATAATCCAATGGGATGGTAAACGACCACCGGACACGTCACGACCGGAGAGAGACCAGGCGCAGGACCAACGGCTTTACGTGCTTTCCGAGGCACGTGGGTGAGACACCGCCAAATTCCTGACTCCGGGCAACTACTGACAACTTCTTGACGGAAAAACTCAATAATTAATTTTTGGCCCGACCTGGGATTCAAACCCAGGAACTCATCAGTTTCAACCCTGATCAGTTGTCGCACTACTACAACCACTATACCAACGAGACATTAATAATAGTAATAGTAGTAGTAATAGTAATATTACTACCATTTACCGTTACATTACAATTGCTACAAAAATATGACCTTTGTGAATTTAGGTTTGATAAATCATTTATATGTAAGCCAACATCTGGATTATACAAAACTTTATCGTAATGTACTAATATAAGTATAATGTAATATAAGTACTAATATTACAACTATAACGCCTATCTAGACTTTACACAATTTATTTATGGCTCAATCTGCAAGTGCAAAAGAAAAAAAAACCGAAAATGTTTAATGTTTGTCAATCAAAGAGCTTGAAATTTTTATTAAACAAGAACTCCATACAAAGAGTCATTACAATTTTAATGAATACATGAATGAAAATGGCCCCTGGGAATAAAGTGATCGCTACCATGCTGGTTCTATTATAATTCATATAAATAATTGTACAAATTTTTGGAAATGTAATGTATAAAAAAGTATCCCGCTGGGTTTCTTGTTTGGTCTTTCCAGGGTCTTTCCGTAAATTATAAAATGACTTGTAAAGTATTATGTTCATTTGATAAAACTTTAGTTTAGTTTATAACGTGGTAAAGCCGTGCTGCAATTATATGTACCACGTTCTCACAGAATACCATCGTAAAATAGTAGCTTAATGCTGCTGTGTTTCGTATGTTGAGTGTAGAGAACTGGAGACCCTTTTTACTGTAAACGAGGCATTCCATCTTAGTCCTCACGGGTGACATTTTGATTTGTAATCGATGATACATATAGTTGTCTAAGGGTCACAGCAATCACTTTACTATCAGGTGTACTGTGTGCTCGTTTGTCATCCTATCCTATAAAAAAGTTTTCATAATACTTTACGTAAAATCGTACAGTCCACTTTATGGTAAGAGGTTCCTACTGTCCATAAACACCTGGAGTAAGAAGGCTACAGAGTAAATTGTCATTCCTGAGGACTAAGACAGAACGCCTCACAGCCAATAATTGTACTTCACACAGCAAAAAAAAGGACGAACACCAGCAATGCAGGCACTGCCACCACCTTCTTACTTATTCCCGCAGTTAGAAGGTGGAAAGTGTATATACCAAGACGTAATCCTAGGTAAAACAGGAGTCCTAGCATGTAGTAATAATTTATTTGTATTGAATAAAAATATTCTATTTTATTTGCGGTTGCTCGCTCATTGGTGGGTTTCTCAGCTCTGAATATAATAGAATTCGGTCCATAGAATTATGGTTTCATTCTAATACAATAAAAATGTGCGTACGTTCGTGCGCGTATGTGTGTGTATCCCCGTGTATGTGCGTGTGCGTTTGCGTGTGCGTGTGCGTGTGCGTGTGCGTGTGCGTGTGTGTGTGCGTGTGCGTGTGCGTATGCGTGTGCATGTGCGCGCGCGCGCGCGCGTGTGTGTGTTTGTGTGTGTGCTCACGTGTGTGTACAAGATATATAGCTTACTTACAGATAATAATTTACAAGATGAATCTAATAACCCAGTAGGGAAACGAAATACCTGAAATGAAAAGTACATGACTTTTAAAAGATAACACTGTGCTCTATCTACCTGTAATAATTTTATTTTACCAGTTCCTCCCCGAATTGGAATGCAGTATGTTATAACGGAATGTGCTAGTGCAATGTATATTTTGTTTATTATATCTAATGAAACTACGTGTTTCAAATTTTTGACAAATCCAAGTTAATTTTCTTACTCTTACTTACCAGGTTAATATGTGAGGTTCAGGAGAGATGTTGGTCTATGATTGCTCCTAAGTATTTTGTATGTGAATTTTTTTATGTTTTCATAACTGCATCTCGGTGTGTTAGCGGATTGAACTTACAATTATGTACTACTACTATGTGTTACTACTAGTATAACTACAGCACGGCTCTACCACGTATAAACTATTTTGGAGGTTAAAGAAATTAAGTCTTCAGTGAATTTCCTAGTCCTAAAGCCATATTATGTTTTGGATAATAAATTGTATTTCTTAGGATATCTTATAAGAATATATAACTTGTGACATTTATTATTCCACAACTAACAATTGATTTTCTTTTAATTTTTAGAACATTTGTGATTGTGTAAACATTCCTAAGGATCATACAACTCATAGACCTGATAACGGTAAATGTAAAATTTCATTAAATTACTTATTTTATGTGGGAGTACAAAATGTTTTTTGTAAATAATAAGAGATTTAAAATTGCTTTAGGTGCTAGGAGTCATCCTCGCGAGCTTCTTATAGATGAAGTGATGGGAAATAACGATGATGTAACAATTGAGAGAATAAGTTCTATCATAAGCTCTGACTCATCCACAACAATGGCATGACTGAAGCGAATTCCTATTTATAAATACTTCATTGAGATATTGCACACGATTTTTCATAGTAAATACAAAATAACATTTTCAAATGTAATTTATTTCATATATTTTATATATTACATTGGTTGTCATGAACTACTCGTATATTATATATATTTTGTTTTTTATTTTTTAAATTGTGTTTACTATGTTTATTTAGTCGTAGGTAGCTGAATATTTTTAACATAAGAAGGTTAAAAATGTCGCTTTTTACTCAAACACGATATACTTAATAGTGAGTCACAAATTGTATGATAATTTATTTATTTTTTTTTTTTCAACACCCACAAAAAATAAAAAACCAAAAGAACCCAACCACAACCCTAAAAGTTAATAAATGTTATAAAATTATAAATCGTATTAAATTAATTATTTTATCAACAATAATAAACTTCGTAGCTACTTGAAGTTTATTCAATTATGTTTTTTATATTAACTTGTAAATTAAATATAAATTTTATAATGATATGGGTAAATTTCTAAATCCGCTACTATTGTTTTGTACTCCCATTTTTCATTAATATGATATTACATTATTTACACAAAAAAAGAATAAAAATCATTTATTTAATCATACAAATTTACAGGTACAAAACAATTGAAGGCAGATTTTAAAAATCATTGCCCAACAAAAAATATCTTTAATAAAGGCCATAGTGATAAAATATCGGGTCAGATTAAATTAGATGATAAGTTTATGAAATTAACAAAAACACCATCTGGTACCATAGTTATGGCATTCAATAATGATTTTGTTAAAATTATAGAAGAAAGAACGAAAGCAAACTCATCTTTATATACAATTTTAAACGTAACGGATTCGGGGCATTTTTTGTTAGAATGGAGTTCAGACGAGTACTTAATGAATAATGATAGAATAATGATATTGGAAGATATATTATGTGGATGCTTATTATTTAGAGGAAACAGTAATTTATTAAAATTTGTAAACCAAACCATCGATGATGTTTGTTTAAGTAATTTAAAAATATACAAACCTGAAAACATACAACCTAATGCCGTAATGAGGGAGACATCTTCAGGTGTTGTATTAATCATTGCCACGGAATCTCTAAATAAAATTCAAAACCATCTACTTGCTTCAGAACCAACCACATATTGTAAGATTAAAATTGAAGACAGTGAATGCTGTGTTACAGAATTTCCAGGAGTATTAAAATCTACGCCGTCAAATAATTATATTGTTAGCGTCGATAAGGAATTTGAAAATAGTTTTCAGAACACCATTAAAAATAATTTATGTGATGATAGCACAGTTCTTATACCTTTAAGAATAAGTAGCTCTGGAAGTTACGTGATAAATTTAGGATGTTTTGCTGATAGACCAATAACAAAAGTTGCTGTTTTGAAGAAAACTGAATCTGGTAATATAAAAGTAATTTTAAAAACACCGACTGATCTTTCACATTTTTCAAAAGAAAAAATTACTAGCACCGAAGAAACAATAAAATTATCGAAATACTGTACAGATTTACTACATAATATACTAAATAGAAAATTTTGCCAAGATACTGTATGCATCCGAAGTTGTTTGAATCCTAAATATAATAGCTATTCTCAATTGTTGCCGAAATTAAAAAATGATTCTCAAAGTTTATTAAAAGTGCATTCACCTTTATTTAGGAATGCAGAAAAAGGACATTACATTGTACCCCTAAATGATATACCAAAAGAAAGCTTTATAAATAGATTAAAAAGCTCTTTGTTAGATACAAAACAACCCTTGCGTATTAAGTGCACAACCTCAGATAATTCCATCATAATTATAAGAAAAGACGATACTAAAAATCAGATGTTATTAAAAATTACAAAATCTAGCGATAATTATGTGCTACCTAATAGAAAAATAATTGATTTTATTGATATCGATGTAAAAGTTAAAAATGACAGTAAATTGGCGCCGGCAATAACATATTCTCAATTACATAATAAAGGATATGTTACATCAAAAAGTTATTTTGAAACGGCCAAGATGTGTTGTAACTACTTTTCACAGCCAATTCAGACTGAAATCAATCAAAATACTAAATCATTTAGTAATTCTTCTTCGACTAGTAAATATGAAAAACGTGTAGTTACTAGTACGAGTAGCGTAGATTCAAAAAAATCAGAAAAAACTTTACCTTACATTGTGATTAAACCTACACCGAAAATATCTTGCATATATCATACTTCTGAGCCAAAAGTGCCGTCATGTGAAAATATGCAATTTTCGGCATTGAAAAGAAAAGTTGGAGAAGTAAGTCAAGACCACAAATGTATTTTTGATAAAAATAATTATTCTGATTGGGATTCTTTAAGTTTTTTACCACCACAGCTACCAGCTTTTCTTAGAGATGTTACTTATCTATATAATTAAACTTGTTAAATTACAATAAACGTAAAATGTGTAACGTAAAAATTACTGATAAATAATGTTCATTTGGATTTTGAAGTATAAAAACAAAATGAAATTGAGAATGTATTAGTCATTGAATTAATGTAGGGTTGATAAACATATTAAATTATTTGGTCCATATTTTTTAATAGTTTGTATATTATAATCTCGTGTATTATAATTAGACTATGCAACTGAAACTCTAATTGTTAAGTTTGGCTATTTTGGCCGTTTATTCCGTTCAACTGTCATATAAATTATAAACTAATTTAAATAACCTAATCCTGTTCTATTTCGCCGAAACTTTTCACTGCTCCATTGAAAGACGTTTTCAAGTATTGGACTGGAACAGATACTGTATTAACATCAATGGCGAGTACATCACTCATATTCGATTTGCCGACGTCACAGTCCTATATGGCATAATCGCTGGAGGACTTAAGCACTATACTTAGTGATCCAATAGTGTTTCCCGACGGATAGGTCTTAAGATAAACCTGGACAAAACAAAGATCATGTATAACGTTCAACTCACATCTACGTTGGTAGTTGTTGGGAACACTGCGCTCGAAGTTGTTGACGAGTATGTTTATCTAGAACAAATAGTCCGACAAGGTAAGTCCAACTTTGACAAAGAAGTTAAACTCGACTGGGCAGCGTTTGGGAGATTACGAAAAATCTTATCGTCAGGTATACCTCAAAAACTGAAAACAAGAACCAGTGCGTTGCCAGTGATGACTTATGAGTCTGAGACTCGGTCCTTCACTGCTGGCCGTAAGCTCAAGGTCGCCCAGCTAGCTATGGAGATGACTGTGCTCGCTAGATAGAGTGACTACCAGGTGGTAGGACACGCAGGAAGTCGATAGATGCAGGTGGCGCAGGACCGCGCTTTGTGGCATTCTTTGGGGGAGCCCTATGTTAAGCAGTGGACTTGTGTAAGTGACCGTAATGAATGAATGGATAAAAATACTGTTCTCTATATTTTATATATTTTATTACGGTACTTTTTTATTTCTTATTATTCTTTAAATTTTTTTATTAGAAATTTAATATATTAATTTATTACTCAATAGAAATATTTATTTAGTAGAAAAGGCTGAAGAAGTAGTTCGTGGTATTAACTACAGTGAATAAGATAATGTAAGGAAAGAGTAATAGTATTGCCAACATTAACTTCTGATTACTCCCTCGTAAGGGACGGAACCATAAACTTTTACAGCCGGTCGATCAATGTAGTACACTGACTCATTTGTATTCCGGGTAAGATCTTCACAAAATCAAGGAGTATGTGATTCGATTTCTATACGCTTGAGGATCTATATAGAGCTTTGTTAATATAATTTTATTAAACTGCAAAATTTTTTTCTACCGAAATTCGAATTCTAGCTGCATATATTTAATGTTTTTTCTTATTTATATCTCTTGTTTATAATGTTGCTTTTCAACTGATTGGTTCAAATAAAACAAGATTTTATCGCATAAAAAAACTTTTTATATTCCTGACGCTTAGAGCACTTTATAGCACCCATGGTCACGGGGGGGGGGACTGATGACTTTTTTTTTAAGAATTTTAATCTGTGGGCAACCGCAGTTAACTTGGGTGCTGTAAAGTGCTCGAAACGTTGGGAAAATAAAAAAAATAATATACGCGATGAAATCCGTAAAAATTTGTATTATTTAAATGATTAGATCAAGTTTTTTAAAATTGTATCAGTTATTTATATTATTCATTTATTTTATAGAACAAGTGCGATTAGCGACCACACAGTAAACCTAATGGTAATTGATGATGTGGCCGATAGATTTCTGCATTTATGCTCGATTCAGGATCAAAATGCAGACGTGTCCCTGAGGAATGAGATGGAATACCTTGTTACTAGTAACAATCCGATTCCCTACACTCACCGTATGAAGCACAGCAGCATTAAACTGCTGTGTCAGCCTGGTGTTCTGTGAGAGCATAGTCCTACCCCGGTGGCGTCAATTCATTCGTGACACGGCTATAAGATACAGTGTGGCTTTACTACGTAACAAGTCACTTGTCAATTTATAATTTATTTAATTTGGTAACAATAAATAATCCTTCTTAATGACTAAACTATACATCTCTTTAAATGACCGCAGAATAAAATGAAACAAGCTTAAATTGTAAATTATCACAGAATTATTAAAAAGATTTTTTTTAACTCATAGATATTAATAATGCTTATTGATATGTGTGCCGGGCGGGCGAAACTCTTCGGAGTAAATGTTGTCGAAGATACTTCGCGAGTCGCTCACGTCCTACACCTATAGGTTCTGGTGGGTACTTTCACTGCCGTCTTTGTGGGTGCCGCTGAGATATTGTGGACTGAGGTTCAAATCAAAATGCACGATTTATAAATACAAATAGCAAGGTAGTGGCCAGCGGTTCGACTGATTGAATAGTCGCGAAATTTTATAATTATTGTTTATTGACCACGGTTGTTGAACTACGGTTGTTCACTATTGGTTGGTCACTGTATATTTCAAAAGATTTCTTTAAATTGTACGGTATTATCAAATATCTATTGGCAGTAGCTGGTTTTCT